AAAAATTATAACTTTCCAGTTGTAAATAGATTTTCAAAAAATTGTAGGTATAGCCATTATATATTAATCTAAAATTTTGTGTGTTATTTTATGAAAATCGGACTACTATAAAATATAGCTGCCATACAAACGATCGATCCTCCAAGAATTTAGATTTTAGTTTGAAATTATATTTTTAATAAATTCACCAACAATTTATTATTCATGCTTTAAATATTTTAAATTTAATACCGCAGACTTTATGTTCAATCTCTCCCAATTTTTTCCCCCATTTTGTACTTCAACAATTTTAAATTCAGCTCCTTTGTTACCGATACTTATCGATAACTTGTGATTGTTTTCGATTAACTTTCCCGTCCAATAAGCAATTTCCTCTCAATGCGCGGGTGAAAGAACATCGAAGGGAAAATCAAGGGTAAAAGGGAGAACAAAAAAAAAACAAGGGAAAAGTGGGAGTGAAAGCAACGGAAAAGACAGAGGGCCATGGAAAACCGAGGTTTTCAGGGGGAAGGGGGATGGGTGGGTGTTGCAATAAGGCGCCTGCTGCATTGCGACAAGTTGGCGCTTCTATCAACTGGTGTCCAATTTGTTATGGACAGGTAAAAATGGCAATGCGCGCCGCCATAAATCAGGAGTGCCTGTGGCTCCTCCTCCCTGTTGCTCCCTTGCCGTGTCCTTTGGCGCGGATTCCCCAAAGGATGCGCTCCTCTGGTCAGGGGCAGGCCTTGCGCGGCAGACTTGCAGCAACAGCAGCAGCAGCAGCAGCATTGTTGCGGATTGTGGCATTGTCTTGCGGCAAGCCCGCGCCCTGCACAGTGGTACCAAGCCTGGGAATACTCATTCCCTTAGGAAAAAAGTTGGCACCACCTGGTAACCATGAACTTAACCAATTACAGTAATCACTGTGATGCGCCAAAGTGAAAAATTTAATATTCTTTTCAGTTGGTGAGGGAAAAAAAAAGTTTGAACAGTGGTTTTAAACTAGAATTTATTTTCATGATCATTTAAATGTTTTATGGGCTTTCAATTTATAAAAAGACATTTTAAAAGAATTTATTTCAAACTTCAAATATTTGTAGCTAAAATTTTAAAAATGTTTACCAAGAAAAAGGTACTGAATTTTAGTTTTATTAAGTTTTTCAAAAACATAAGTTGATGTAATGAGTTTTTTAGGATTTGTGCTCTACTACAAAAATTAATTTTAAAAAATATTAAATATTAAAGTATTATTATTAGTTAGACACTTTTTTAAACCGGTTCTAAAACATATTTTAATGTAAATGTTGATATTATTATTTATTATTGTAATGATGTATTTATAATTATTAATTTTAAAAATTAATAACAATTTTACTAAAGATTCGTTCTCAGTTAAAACAGAGTACTTTTAACTTCAACAAAGTCATTATTGTTGTTGATGTATTGGAATAATAAAAGCTATTTTCAATAATATTTATATTTAAACATTAAATGCGATATATTTTATTAATCAAAACTTTGTTTTAAATAAAATTACGAGATTTTTGATATGATACTTCCACTTATATACAAGAAAAAGCCATTTTAATGGAATAATTCTTAAACGAATTCTTTTTTTAATGATTAATGGTTTTTTTTTAATGAAAACTTTTAATTTTTTATTTATATGATACTACCTTTATATACAAAAAACTTTTTTTAATGGAATAATTCTTACAATCCATTCTTGTTCAGCATGTATTCTTTGTGAAAAAAATACTTTAAGCTTTTAAAACTGGAAAATTTTGTTAAATCCATTATATATTTAATACATTTTTATATTAATTATAAAAGAAAACCTATTCTGATAAAGAATTTCTATAAGTACGCTCATCCAATAAAAATAAAAGGCAAAAGAATTGAAGAAATGAACTATGCTAGAAACTTTCTTTGCTTCGTTTTTAGATCATTATAAGACTTAGAATTTCCCGAATTTTTCGAAATAGATCTTGGTACCAGGGTATAGTATATATTCCACCCCTTTAGCCCCGCTTCCAGTGTAAAGCGTTTGTCAATTATGTTTCGCATGCAGTTGAAAACGTTGCATTTCCGACGCGGCGGCGGCGGCTTATTGCCGCTGGCCAATGTCGGGTGGCGACGTGGCCGAGAACAAAAGACGGTCAAAACAAAAGGCACACACACACACCAGGCCCGAAAGGGGGAGGAGCAGGTGGTACGGCTTTGGCCGGGGTCTGGGGTCTACGGTCTGAGCCCAGGCATCCGGAAGTTTGCGCTGACATTCATTACCATAATTCACAACAGCTTAAAACATTTATGTGGCTGCCGCCTCGAGCTCAAGCTGGAGCTGGAGTCGGAGCGGGACCAGGAACGGGACCAGGAACGGGACCAGAATCGGGAGACGGAGCTGGAGCTGGAGGTGGAGCTGAAGCTCTTGCAGACAGGACGTTCCCCTTGCCTCAGTCAGTCGCTTCGTTGTTTGCTTTGGATTATATGTGCAGGAGCATGCAAAAAGGGATAATAAGGAAAACTTGAAAATTTGTTGCAATTATTTTAACTGCTTGGAAATTGCCGTCACAAGTTCCTCTACCTCTTCCAGGCCCCCGCCCTCTGTACTGCAGTTTACAACTTATTTCTTAGCCCTCCTTAGTTACTCCTCTTGTGTCCTTATATGGACCATGTGCCAAGACACCCAAGAAGGTCCTGAGCAAAATGTTTGGGGGCAGTGGTGGTGTTTTTGAGGGGGGTTTTACAAATGTAAAATAAAATTTTGTTAAAAAACCATGAAATTAATAAAAATTTTAGTTGGAAGCTTGTAACTCATAAAGGAACCATTTCCGACCCTATATATCATATATATTCCTGATCAGCATGAAAAGCCGAATCGATCTAGCCAGCTCGTGCAGAACAAAAATTTTGAAAATTTTTTCCAACATTTTTATTACCATTATTATTATATTATTTTTATCATTCAAATATTGAAAAATTGGCAAAAATTTAAAATTCTTAAAATTTTAAATTGAGTATGCAGTTTTATTAATTTACTAAAAATTAATACAGAACAGCTTTCAGAATTAAAATTAATGCCTTTTTGCCCGAGTTATGAGATTTTTAAGCCTTGATTTTTGGAAAAAATTTCTTGTAAAAATATTGATAAATATCGTTTTAAAAATGGTATTATAATTTTGGTTAGGAGCATCAAACGCAGTGAAGGAGTCATTTCCGACCCTATAAATCATATATATTCTTGATCAGCATAAAAAGCCGAGTCGATCTAGCCATCTCCGGCAGAACAAAAATTTGAAAATTTTTTCCAACATTTTTATTACCATTTTTTTATCATTCAAATATTGAAAAATTGGCAAAAATTTAAAATTCTTAAAATTTTAAATTGAGTATGCAGTTTTATTAATTTACTAAAAACTAACACAAAACAGCTTTCAGAATTAAAATGAATGCTTTTTTGCCCGAGTTATGAGAATTTTAAGCTTTGATTTATGGAAAAATTTGCTATAAATATATTGATGAATATCGGTTAAAAAATTGTATTATAATTTTGGTTAGGAGCATCAAACGCAGTGAAGGAGTCATTTCCGACCCCATAAGTCATATATATTTTGATCAGCATGAAAAGCCCAATCGATCTAGCCATCTCCTGCAGAAAAAAATTGTTGAAAATTTTTTCCAACATTTTTATCACCATTTTTGTATCATTCAAATATTCAAAAATTGGCAAAAATTTAAAATTCTTAAAATTTTAAATTGAGTATGCAGTTTTATTAATTTACTAAAAATTAATACAGAACAGCTTTCAGAATTAAAATTAATGCCTTTTTGCCCGAGTTATGAGATTTTTAAGCCTTGATTTTTGGAAAAAATTTCTTGTAAAAATATTGATAAATATCGTTTTAAAAATGGTATTATAATTTTGGTTAGGAGCATCAAACGCAGTAAAGGAGTCATTTCCGACCCTATAAATCATATATATCCTTGATCAGCATAAAAAGCCGAGTCGATCTAGCCATCTCCGGCAGAACAAAAATTTTGAAAATTTTTTTCAACTTTTTTTATCACCATTTTTGTATCATTGACATATTCAAAAATTGCAAAATTTTTAAAATACTTACAATTTTAAATAGAGTATGCAGATTTATTAATGAACTAAAAACTAACATAGAACAGCTTTCAGAATTAAAATTAATGCATTTTTGGCGTAGTTATATCTTTTTGAAAATCAGATGTATCGATAAAAATGTCATATAAAATATTGATATATATCGATTTAAATAATGTGTATAATTTAAGTTTAGTAATTTTATTTTAAACTGCAAGGGTACAGAAACTTTGGCTTCCCGAAGCTTGTTTCTTTTCTGGTTTATTTGATGATTTATATGCCTAACATTAATATATCTCCAAATACATTTACTTAAGGTATTAAGCCCCCTCTGTGGAAAAATACACCTACGCCTCTGTTTACCAGGGGGGGAGGGTGGTGCTTGGGCAGCAGGAACGTGTGTGTGCAACTAATGTACATTGCATTCGCAAGTTAGTCCGGTGTCCAACGCCCTCGAAAAGCGAAGGAAAATGCTTCCTGGCCTCGTTGCTGGCCATGCAGAAAATGAGGAAACAAACTTCGTTTTTGATAAGGACCAACAATTTCAGAAGGGGGACGACCCAAGGGGGGAGTGAAAGTGAATCAAAGCGAATGGGGCGAAACTTTCTTCTAAAATCATTAAAAATGTATTCAACAATTTATAAGCCCTAATTAACTGATAACTGTTGGTGATAGCTTTAAAATGAAGCTTGCGAAGGTACAAAGTAAAGCTACTGAAGCTGTTAACCTTGAAATTAATACAAGAAACAGTTCAAATAATTCTATATTTAATTAATATTCTACATATAATGTAGAATCAAGTTAGCCTTGATTTCTGAATATTTAAAACATAATCTATATATCAGAGACTTTGCTGACAGTGAAATTCTTTTCTTTCATATGAAATATTTTTCATTTCACTTTACTTGTACAGCTTTTACATTTTCTCCGTCAATAATTAAAGCCTAAAAGGTATGTTTTTTAAATGAAATGAAATGAAATGCCAATTCAAGAGAATTCCCTCAAGATCATTATGATTTATTCCATGCGGAAGAAACGCCAACTCTTTAGAATTATGCGAAAATGGCATTTCAAGCACAATGCAAATCCACAATCGTGTAAATTCTACTTGAGTTGCCCGGAAATGGACGCCATTACAGGACCTCCAAGGCGCGATGAAGACCTCATTGTGATCCATCCAATTCATGCCTTTCAGCTCATTAACTTGGGTTTACAACAGGCCAACGAGATGGGAGATCGAAAGATTAAGGTGAAACTGAAGGCTTATCGACAGCATGTCCAGAATTTCCTTCAAATGTTGGAGGTTCGCCAGAGAATGACCCAACTGAATATACAGGATGTGGGAGAACGCGGACAGGATATCACTGAGACATAGATCCTGATCAGTAGAATAAAAAATCTTATTTAAACAAGAGATTACATTAAAGGAAATCCTAGCCTAAATGAGGTAAATGGGGGGAAATGGAAAATGAAGAATGCAAGCTGAAACCAATGACAGATTCTGTCGCAACTGCCACTCAGCCGTGTCAGACATGTCAGACGTGTTCTCTCTGCGCTTTTCTCAGATTTTTTTTCCGCTTTTCCTTGTTTTTTTTTTATGGCCGCCGCCAAGAGATTTATGAGCAGCTAATTTTCTAAGCTAATTTGTTGGAAATTTAAATACACTTGCAGCTGCCGGGGAGGCTGTGACAGCTGTGACACATTTCAGTGGGTGTGGGTGTGGGTGTGTGTTCCATTTCCATTTCCACTTGTCCAGTTTTTCCTTTTCCCCCCTGCCCACTCTCCTACACGCACACAATTCCATATGCAAATGCATCCGGACGGGAATGAGGTGGAGAGGTGAAGGTGGAGTATGAGCAGGTCCTGGACCACCTGGCGAGCTTATCTCCGGTGGCCGAGTCGAGCAGCGACACATTTTCAACAAAAGTGCAACCGCATTCGGACTCATTGAGGATGGTGCCGAGGTGACAAGTGACAAGTCATGCCGACCACACAGGACACACGCATTCCCTCTCTCCCATCCTTAGATATCCTGGCTTCCCTGAGGGAGGAGTCCTTTCACCATTTCACGTACATAGCATGTCCTGTCTGCTTTGTCCTTGGCAAAGCCGCTTATCACGATCACCAGTAGCATTTCATGGAATTTACTTGTGACTTGGTCAACTCTTTCGGGATCAATGCTTTACGGGATTAAGATATTCAAGGAAAGGGTTAAGCCTAATGTTTCAGAAATAATCATGGGGAAGTATTTTTCAGGAACTATTAGTTGGTAATAATGAGAATCTTAAGATAAACATTGTAGGAAATATTTGTCATCATTATTTTTTTGTTATTTATGTGTGGGATGGTAAAAATGTTCGATATATCGATAGTGTAAAGAACATTTTTCTTCATACAAGTTTGTATAATATCAAATTAAACACAACCCTACAATGTTGTAAATATGGCTAGTCTAAATTTAAAAGGAACAATATAACTACTAAAGTTTTGTTAAAAAAACAAAAAGGAAGTTGGTATACCCTTGCAGAATGGAATTCGATCACTAGGAATTAATACAATATAAATTATATATATATTTATTTAAAAAAACAATAAAGTAAAGCCTGCTTTTATTTTCCTGCTCCATTTTCCTCTATTTTTAACGATCGTTTGTATGGAAGCTAAATGATATAGTTGTCCGATTTTCATAAAATTAAAATCAAAATTCTAGAATAATATTATGGGGCTATATCTCAAATTTCATGAAAATCTATTGAAAACTGGAAAAGTTATAATTTTTTTCTTAAAATTTTCCTATCGTTCCTATGGCAGCTATATATATGTGTATATATATAGTCCACCGATTCGACATGCCCCGACTTATATACTAGTAAAATTAAATAGAAGATTAACTCCATAGTTTCATTCAAAAAGCTTTAAATTTGTTCCAAAACAAATCTCTCACATCTGTACATATGATTCACAACTGGTTCTAACCTCCCCGGAACGAAGTGACTTCTCCCGGCCACGTTTTAAAAATGTGTTGTGTTACAAAAGTTGCAAATCATTGTTTACAAGTGTTCAAAGTTAGCAACTGATCAAAGATACTTGGTGTTAATTAGTGATCAGAGATAATTACTGATCTTTGTTAATTACTGATCATAGTAACTTAATGTTTATTGATATTTACTGATCATAGTTATTTACATTTAAAAGAAAAATATATATCTATCAAGAAATTATATAAATGTTTTGTCCGTAAATGTTTAAGTTATTTTTCGACCGACTTTACGGTTTAATATGGGGTAATATATACTATATATTTTAGTCTCCTAAAATTTATTGGCAATATTTCAATGTGATGACGAGTCCTATGCTCTTTAAGGCTTTAGGATCTTAAGCTTATTAGTCTCGGCAATTTCTGTGCATTAAGAAGCTGCAGTGTTAATGAGAAACCCCATCAGGTGGAATAAGTGGGTTAATTTTGGGACTAAGACAATGAATAACGAATGCTCTAGAAGATAAAATACCTTACACTTGTGATTTATGGAAAATATAGTAAATAAAACTTGTATAAATATTTAAAGGGAATTTAATAACTATTGTTTATGATAATATTTATTTCATAAAGTTTATACTGTTGTATAAATATTTCAAGGGAATTAATTATGACTTTCCCTATGATCTCTTCCATTTTATTAGCTTGAAACTCTTGTATAAATATTTCAATAAAATTAAATAACTATTAACTATTACTTTCCCTATGATCTCTTCCAGTTTATAAGCTTCAAACTCTTGAGTCTATATATATATATATATATATATATATTCCTGATCAATTTGCTGGCAGGCATTGCCATGTCAGGAGGGCATAATGAAAATGTTTGCAAATCGCATAAGGCCAGCCAGTGCTGGAAAAGGACACGATGCCCGGAGGGAGAGACAGAGAGAGAGAGACTGGTGCCTGGAGCTGGAGTCCTGCGGATGCGCCTGCAATAGACGATAGCAAAGCTGCAAGGATGGAGGGGTTAAGGGTAACAGCCGTAGGGGGTTAATACACGTATTCATTTCAAGCGTTTTATGCGTTGCTTGGCTTTTGTTTTTTTGGCCAGTGTCCAACAAGGACCCACCAAACACACCAAACCAAACCAAACCAGCCTGACACAGTTTCTTCCCCCTCCTTTCCCCCAGGCCAGACTCCACTGTACTGTACTCCCTGGCACTGCTCAACTGGCTGCCGTGGCGTGCCTGTGCGCTGACAGTAAATGCTGAAAATTGAGTGCAACTTGTCGTAACTTTATTTTCAAATATATGCGGAAAGGACTAACCAGACAATGCACAACAATACACACACACACACACGCACAGCATACACCCAGCAAGGCACACACTCTCACTCGCACTCTGCATAGCCGCACTCCAATGAGAAATGTGTGGCGGCGCGCATTTAACATGCAAAAATCAAGGCGACAAGGATAACGATAGCCATGTCCTGGCATAGTGAATTTATTTCTCTAAGATCTATTTCTTAGTTATTTTTGAAAATTTAACCGAAAGTCTATGTAAACTATTATATTTTTATTTTTTAAAATATTTAAGTTTACCAAGAGCAGAAAAAAAAATGGCGATGAAAGCCTTGTTTCCCATCAATTTTTAATTAATTTCAGCTTAAATGCATATTAATTGAGTTGCATTTTTAAAAAAGGTTAATAAATATAAGCATTAAAAATAAAAAAAATAAAATTAGGGTAACATAAGACCTAAAACAGGGACATCTATTGTTATAAAAATTTCTTTTTGGAAATGTAAAATAACTATACCAAAATAGTATTCTTAATTAGTCAACATGTATGTATTATTAAAAATATTTTTGTTTCTCCAGAGCAAAAAAAAAAAGTGATGACGACTGACTTCTCTGCGCTTTTCCCCATAAATTTAAATTCATTGCATTCTTTTTGGAAATGTAAAATAACTATACCAAAATAGTATTCTTAATTAGTCAACATGTATGTATTATTAAAAATATTTTTGTTTCTCCAGAGCAAAAAAAAAAAGTGATGACGACTGACTTCTCTGCGCTTTTCCCCATAAATTTAAATTCATTGCAGCTTCAATTCATATTAATTAAATTGCTTTTCTTAAAAAGGGAAATAAATATAAGCATTAAAAATACAAATTAAAAACGTTTGGAATAACTTGAAAAAAAACAGGGTAACATAAGACCTAAAACATGGAAAACTATTTTATATATATTTGTATATTGTTAAATAATTATACCAAAATAATAATATAAAATAGTCAACATGTATGCCTTTAAATATCTATACCTTAGATAACCATAATACATAACAATAAATAAATAACACTAATATATAATACCAAATAAATAATCTAAAAATATAAACAACACCCAAAAGGCAAGATAAGGTAAAGATAAAAATATTATATAATACCAAATAAATAATCTAAAAATATAATCAACACCCAAAAGGCAATAATAGGGTAAAGATGAAAATAATATGTTGTACCAAATAAATAATCTAAAAATATAATCAACACCCAAAAGGGAATATTAATTTGAAACTTTGGTCGCCTGACACACATTCCCTAGGCTTTCTATGTGTGTGTGTTGTGTGTGTGTGTGCTAAGTGTTTTGCAACAAAGTTTTTGCGTGCTTTTGTCTGCCGACTACCAACTGCCACCGATTCCTCCTCCGACTTCTCGTTCTGCTCCGGCTCAGGATTCCTCTTTCCTGCGAAGGCAAAGTGGGGGGATCCCAGCCATCGCTCCGGTGTGCGAGTCCGGGCACGGATACGGGAATGAGTCCGGATCCGGGACCCGGATTGGAGCTGGGGCTGGGAGTCTCCATTTCCATTCGCCATTCGCCATTCTCGGTCTCGTCTGCATAAGCTATGTGGTTGGTGTGCCTGTCTCCATTCACGTCCAGGACGACCTCGTCCTCGGCCTCTTTCTCTGCTGTAAATTTAACGAATATGTAAGTCCTGGACAGCTCCTCTTGTTCATTTTGCCCATAAGTTAAGTGTGAAATTGTTTAACCCATTGGGGGAAATATATTATATATAAACTTATATGGGTTTCAAAATAAATTAAATTAAATAAATAAAGACGTAAAATAATAATACAAAAATCCATATCAAATACATAAAAATAAGTTAAATTAAATAAATAAAGACATAAAATAATATAACAAAAAATTCCTATTAATTACAAAAACTTATATTCTTAAAACTGTAATAAGTTTAATGTTATATTATATTTTGTTTAGATATAAAAATAGCTTAGAATCACCTCCGATTTTCATACAATTTTACACAAAATTCTAGATTAATATATAAAGGCGATATATCAAATTTGATGAAAATCTGTTAAAAACTG